CCTCCCTTGCGGGGCCCCGCCCCCCGTGTGCCCCACAGCCCCCTCCCTTGCGGGGCCCCGCCCCCCGTGTTCTCTAGGTCCCCTCACGCCCCAGCACACACAGATACAGCACAGCCCGTTTATTGGCAATTCTGGCCCCAGGCACGTGCCCACCCTCCTGGAGCCCTCTGGCCAGGGTGCCTGGGTCCCACCCAGGCTCAGGCTGGGGCCATGGGGGTGGGGGCCAGAGAGCCAGTCCTAGAGTTGCCCCCTGGTGTCGCGGGGGGGCGGCAGGCAGAGGCCCGCCGTGCACAGCAGCAGGGCGCAGAGGCAGAGCAGGGTGAGGCCAGCCAGCAGGAGGCGCTGGCTGCACAGGCGGCGATCCTCCTGCGGGCAGCAGAAAGGTGGGGTGAGTAGGGCTGCCCCCTTCCTTTGTGGCATCCTCTTCCCCCGTGGTCCTGGCTGCCCATCCAGTTCACCCCCTGCACTGCAGGCTCCCTGCTTCATGCCTGCCCCCGCAGCAGTGCACCTCCTCTGCCCCTGCAGGGTAGCCCCTCCAGGCTGAGTGTGTTCTGTCTGCAGCCAAGCCCCTTACCATTGTCAGCATGGTGGCCAGGGCGGGATCAGGCTGGTACTGGGGTTGGTAGCAGGACCCCAGTTCCTCCTGGGGCTGGGCATCCAGATCCCCCACAATACAGCGGGGCGGCGCCCTGCAAACAGACCATGTGGGGACAGTGAGGAGATAACTCAGCACAGATCCCCTCCTGCCCCACCCCAGCTCATCCCACGCACCTGCTCTGGGGCAGCATGGAGGAGGGGCCTGCCAGGCTCAGACAGCTGCCCTGGGGGTTGGGCCCGGGGGGCCATGGGGTGATGGCCACCATGCGGATTGGTTGCTCGGAGTCTGGACCTGTGGGGGCGAGGGAGAAAGCCTGAGCCAAGGGGAGGGGAGCAGGATGGCCCGTCAGGGCACGGCCAAGGGGGAAAGGCCCTGCCCCGAATTGGCCAGAGGTCTAGCGCAGTGGAGCAGCTAGTGGAAGTTGTGAGGGGAGTTTGAAAGGGGCTCTATACATTTAATATGCACATTCCTTAGACCTGCCCCTGGGGAAAGGCCTTACCCTGGGAGTACAAAGAGGGTGCAGGCAGGAGGAGCTAGGGAGGCCTGACACTTTCCGGGACCCACGAGAACAGTCCCCTCCAGTCAGACAGCGCCTGCGCTGGGGAGGGTGAAAGGCTCAGGCCACATCTGCGCTGGCAATGCAAAGCCCCACTTGAGAACGCTGGTGGCTACGGCTACACTCGCAGCTTCTTGCGCAAGAAATATGCAAATGAGGCTAAGCGAGGAATATCACCGAGCTTCATTTGCATACCTAATGAGCTGCCATTTTTGCGGAAGAGGCTCTTGCGCCAGAAGGAGCTGTCTGCACTGCCCCTTCTTGTGCAAGAAAAACCCTCTTGCACAATTCCATTATTCCTGGAAATAATCAGCGTAGCGGCATTGCGCAAGAAGGGGCAGTGTAGACAGCTCCTTGTGGCGCAAGAGCCTCTTCCGCAAAAATGGCAGCTCATTAGGTATGCAAATGAGGCTCGGCGATATTCCACGCTTAGCCTCATTTGCAGGGCTTGACGAACTATGGCGAAGCCGCTCCCCAGCCCCGCACTGTGCATGCACAAGAGCCACATTGCGCATGCGCGTGCCACCGGTAAACAGGACGCCGGGCTGGAATCTACTTGCCCCGGGGGAGTAGATTCAATAGATTGTCAAGCCCTGCTCATTTGCACATTTCTTGCGCAAGAAGCCACGAGTGTAGACCTAGCCGCTGGGTGTTCTCACTGTAACATGAGCACACTCACCACACCCCAGGGCCTCTTGGAGTGCTGCTTTCTGGGCAGCCTCCCACAGAGCACCTCTTCCTCTTCTGCTGCAGAGGTGTGTGGGAAGGCGTGGCGCATGCTGGGTCCTGCCCCGGTGCATCGCTTTGCATCCCAGCAACCTGTGCTTCTGTCCACCGTGGACACCAGCTTTCAGCAGCTTTGATGCTGCCCTCTCGCCTGTGGGATGGACCTCCAGTGGTCGATGAAAATACAGCTCCGTCTCCCTAGCCTGCCACGGATGGCAGTCGAGTGATTCCTGAAGCTGCAGAAATGAGGAGTCCGTGCAGCGTGTGTATGACACATGCGGTCTTGTGGCACTCACGCCAAAGCAGAATACTGTCTGGGCTCAGGAAACAAGCGCCAAGGGGCGGGACCACATTGGCCTGCCAGCCGGGATCACAAGCAAAGCCTGTAGGACCTTTGGGTGAGGAAAGCTGCTTTCCTGGGGGTGTGCGCCGAGCTCGTCCCCACCCTGTGGTGCAAGGCCACGTGGCTGAGCCGCTCTGCCTGCAGAGTGGGAGCTGGCCGCTCCAGACAGCGTTCGCTTGGGTGCCAGTCATCTCAGGGTGGGAGAGTCGGCCGCTGGACGTGTGCGGGGCCAGCAAGTGCATCCTGCTCCGAAAGACTGGGACTCTGGGCAGTGGGGTGACCTGGTGGCTGGCTTTGCACTGAGGGGCAGTGGGGTGACAGATAGCACAGTCCAATGTGTCCAAACCCCACTAGCCTCTGAGGACATGAACCCCACAGCTCTGCAGGCACTTGTGGGTCACCGTCGGCCTTGCGTGGCCATTGACGCCAGCGGGTCTGAAAGGGGCATGGTCTGTTCAGGAAGCTGCGTGCAGGACCAGATCACTGTGGGGGAAGCAGAAATGCCCCTTGTGACCCTTGGAAACCCTGCCCACTCCTTAGTGCCCTGGCTCATGAAGCCACGCCCGGAAGCCTTGAGAGCAGCAAGGAGCAGTTCCATAGTGGGCTGAGCCGGTGCTGAGTGGCCGTCGGACAGCCCACTGGCCACGTTTGTACAGGAAGCCGGACTTGGCTGATAGCCCAGCGGTTACTGCTGCATGCTGTCCCTTCCGGGATATTCGTGAAGAGAGGGGTGGAAGCGTCACTCAGCTGGGACGCTGAGGCTCATCGCCTGGAAGTCGAGTTTGAACAGCCTGAGCCCAGGGCTGTATGGAACGGAGGGGCCCTGAGGCAGCCATTGGATGCTGAACAGTGCCATGCATGGGCGTGCACTGGCTGCCTTGCCAGGGGTTGCTCCTAGCGGTCCGTGCGCTGCCCATCGCGCGACAGTGACTGCAGCTTTGCTGGGGGGCTTGGGTGCTTGGCATGGACTGAAGCTTGCTTTGAACCAGGAATTTCATTTCTTAAACACAGTAACCCAGAGGTGGGCATCTGGCTCAGAGGCCCTGCTGCTCCCCCGCCCCCCAAGCCAATTAGAGCCTGGGGGTGGGGGAGCACCTGAAGCCTCCACCGCTCTGCTCCAACCCTGCGAGCAGCCACCTGCCCCTCGCAGAGCAGGAGAATTCCAGTGCTCCCCTGCCCCCAATCCGATTGGCCTGGGGCGAGGGAGCGTGCCAAGCTCTTCCAAGGCACAGGTGCCTAGTGGGCAGGTGGGGTCACCTCCAAGCATGGCATCTGGCTCTCTGCAGTACCTGCCGGCGGGCTGCAGCTCCTTCGCTTCCCCCTGACTGCGGCATGTCCCGGACACGCCCATCGGTATCAGCATTCCAACGGCTGGAGCGCAGCTGAGACTGGTCCAGCCTGTCAACGTGGCTCCAAAGCAGGGATCTCCTGGTGCGTGGAGCTGAGAACACCACACGTCAAAGGGGACTGTGCACGGGGGGCCTGAGAGCAGAGTTCAAACAGCTGACAGAGGCAAGAACAAGCGTTGTGGGAAGGGCCCAGGCAGCCAGTCATTGTGCTGGGCCCGGAGCCCCACCAGCTCTACGCTTCTTGCCAGGGACCTTTGCCGAAGCCAAAGCCAGGGCGCACACCTTGGCAGTTACAGCGCCGGGGGCTGATTTCCTGCCCAGCAACTTGCCAGTGTAGACTTGGCCTCAGGAAAGGAGCCTGTCCTACGGAGCAGAGGGAAGTGATCCCAGAATTGGAAGCCTCCTTCCAGAGGGTGATGTGGCCTCCTCTCACACTGAGGATCCCACTCCAGGGACAGAACTCCAGTCATTAGGACTAGGCCGGTGTTAGCAACGGGGGATTGGATCATTAGAAACAGACAGCTGGGTTTGCGATGACCAGGAGAACCGTGTGGTGACTGGCCTGCCTGCTGCGAAGGTTGCAGATCTCTTGAAGCATCTAGATAACCGTCTGTGTAGTGCTGGGGAGGAGCCAGTGCTCGTGGGCCATGTAGGTACCAGTGACGTAGGGAAGGGCAGGAGAGAGGTTCTGGAGGCCACATTTAGGCTGCTAGGAAGGAGACTGAAATCCAGGACTGCAGTGGTGGTGTTCTCTGAAATGCTTCCGGTTCCACGCGCCAGGCAGAACTGCAGGGTCTCACTGTGCGGAGGGGTGTGGATTAAGAACTGAAGGAATGCTTTGGAAAGCCGACAGGTGTGGAGGGCCACGTGGATCGGACAGAAACATCTCTGAGGGGAGGGTCTCTTCACAGAGATTCTCTCCGTCCTAGTAAAGAGGGGCGGATGGATGATAAGATACAGGCAAGATCTGACGAGAAACATATGGAAAAGAGTCCCATTCAATCCCATTGGGGAATGGCGGACAGCTAAAACGTAAAGTGCTTATACACAGATGCCAGAAGTCTCAAGAATAAGGTGGGTGGAGTAGAGTGCCTCGTACTGGACGAGGAGATTGATATAGCAGGCATCACAGACGCTGGAGCTGGAGCGGCCATGGAGGGCGCTTCTCGCCTGGCCCCAAGCTGCTGCGGTGAGAAAGGGCTCTCTCCCCAGAACAGCCTGCATCCTGACCCCTCGTCCCCCACCCCACCCCACCCCAGAGCAGTGATGTGCGTGAAGAACAAAAATGAATAGTTAAGGACCCAAGCAACAGGGTCTTACGTTGTGAAGTAGGGAGCCATCTGCTGGCAAAAGCTTGTGACGCAGCTACTGTATATTTGAGAGTAAAACAAAAATGACTCGAGTTAAGGATCTGAGCAACACCACAGAAATCTTCTGGTAATAAGAATATAGCAGTAGGGACATTTTACCAAACACCTGACCAAGGTGGTGATAGTGACTGTGAAATGCTCAGGGAGAGAGGCTACACAAATGTACAACATCCATAATAATGGGGGATTTCAACTCCATATTGGCTGGGCACGTCACCGCAGGACGGAATGCAGACATGAAGTCTCTTGACACCTTAAGTGGCTGCTTCTCAGAGCAGCTGCTTGTGGAACCCACAAGGGGAGAGGCAATTACTGCCTTGGTCCTAAGCGGAGCACAGGACCTGGTCCAAGAGGTGATTGTAGCTGAACTGCTTGGAATTAGTGACCAATTGAATATTCCTGTGGTGGGAAAAACCCCTCAGCAACCCAACACGGTGGGCTGATTTTCAGAAAAATGGAACTACACAAAATGAGATTAGTTCAACAGAAATTAAACGATACAAAAGTGAAATCCCGGCAAGCTGCACAGAAGTGTTTTAAAGACACCACAGTAGGGGCTCAACTTAAATGTCTACCCCAATGAAAACACACAGTAAGAGAACCAAACCAGAGCCTCCGGGGCTTAACACAGGAAAAGAAGCAGGGAGAGATAAAAAGGCATCCTGTAAAAAGTGGAAGTCAAATCCTAATGAGGAGAATAGAAAGGAGCACAAACTGACAAATGAAATGTAAAATATAATAAGGAAGGCCAAAAAGGAATTTGAAGACATCCAACCAAAACCAACAGCAAAATCTTTTTAAAGTCCATCAGAAGCGGGAAGCTGCTAACAACCAGTGGGACCATGGACGATCGAGATGCTAAAGCTAAAAGACAAAGTATTTATGGAAAAACATTTGAATTTGGTCTTCATGGCTGAGGATATCGGGGAGATCCCCAAACCCGAGCCAGTCTTTTTAGGTGACGAATCTGAGGAATTGACCTAGACTGAGGTGTCATTAGAGCAAGTTTTGGAACAAATGGATAAGCTTCACAGTCACAAGTCACCGGGACCGGATGGCATGCGCCCAAGAGCTCTGACAGAACTCAAATGGGAAATTGCAGAACTATTAACTGTGGTTTGTAACCTGTCCTTTAAATTGGCTTCCGTACCTAATGTCTGGAGGACATCTTTTTAAAAATGGAGCATAAACTCTGCCAAATTAACTATAAAAAAGTATAAGAAAAGCCAAAAAGGAGTTTGAAGAACAGCAAGCCAAAAACGCAAAAGGTAATAAAAATTTGTTTTAGTACATCAGAAACAGGAAGCCGGCTAAACAACCCGTGGGGCCCCTGGACGATCAAGATGCTAAAGGAGCCCTCCAAGACGATAAAGTTATTGCAGAGAAACTAAATGAATTCTTTGCTTCAGTCTTCACAGCTGAGGATATTGAGGAGATTCCCAAACCTGACCCGTCCTTTGTAGGTGACAAATCTGAGGAATTGTCATTAGAAGAGGTTTTGGAATTAATTGATAAACTTAACAGTAACAAGTCACCGGGACCAGATGGCATTCACCTAAGAGTCCTGAAAGAACTCAAATGTGAAATTGGCAAACTATTAACTGTGGTTTGTAACCTGTCCTTTAAATCGGCTTCTGTACCCAATGACTGGAAGATAGCTAATGTAATGCCAATATTTAAAAAGGGCTCTAGAGGCAATCCCGCAATTACAGACCGGTCAGTCTAATGTTAATACCGGGCAAATTAGTTGAAACAATAGTAAAGAATAAAATTGTCAGACACATAGAAAAGCATAATTTGTTGGGCAAAAGGCAACATGGTTTCTGTAAAGGGAAATCATGTCTTACCAATCTGATTGATGATACCAAACTGCTGAAGGTAGTTAAGACCAACGCAGACTGTGAACAGCTTCAAAAATATCTCACCAAACTAAGTGATTGGGCAACAAAATGGCAAATGAAATTGAATGTGGATACATGTAAAGTAATGCACATTGGAAAACATAACCCCAACTATACATACAATATAATGAAGGCTAATTTAGCTACAACTAATCAGGAAAGAGATCTTGAAATCATTGTGGATAGTTCTCTGAAGACATCCACACAGTGTGCAGCCATCAGAAAAGCAAACTGGATGTTAGGAATCATTTTAAAAAAGGATAGAGAATAAGGTGGAGAAACTGTGTAAGTCCTTACAGGAGGCATGTCCAAAGTCCGGCCCGGGGGCCAATTGCGGCCCATGTTCCGGTTTAATACGGCCCCACGGGTAATTTGGCAATATCTATCTTTTATGGCCCCCAACGAATCCATATGTATTGAGATGAATACATTGTAAAATCTCAGTTAAAGTCAGTTGGTCTAAATCAGTTATAAATATATTTGGACACAACATGTATACTTGGTGTTATGTTCCTGTTCATATTTTTTGAACTTAAAAGTTGACAGACAACCTTTATTACCAATAATATGTAATGTACTTTACAATGTTCCTGACATATATTTCAGCTTCCTGGATTTTTTTTTCATCTGGCCTTCAGATATGAAAGGCAGAGTGATTTAACACCTGTTTAGATTTGTCATCCATGTGACGAAATGAAAAGTATGCCGTTTGCAATAAACTTTGCATAAAATAGTTAATTTGCGTTTAATTTTAATGGTTCAAAGAATGTCAGGCAAAATGGTCGGCCCTCACGCATGTTCACTTCATAAAATCTGGCCCTCTTTGAAAAAAGTTTGGACACCCCTGCCTTACAGAGAGAGAGAGAGAGAGTTATCTTGTCCTTTCCTTTTATATCTATATCTATATCCAGGGCTCGACAAATAGTACACCCCGGAAGAGCTGGCACGGAGCGATCTGCGCATGTGCAGAGCGCAGAACCGCGCAGCTGGCAAGCCCTGTCTATATCTATATCTCTTCCTGTTAAGCCGTATAGAATTCCTTGTATTAAAAGAAACCTTGTATCGTCTTTTCCATAGAAACTTTGTATTTAACCCTTTGGCTACGTCTAGACTGGCATGATTTTCTGCAAATGCTTTTAACAGAAAAGTTTTTCCGTTAAAAGCATTTGTGGAAAAGCACGTCTAGATTGGCAGGATGCTTTTCCACAAAAGCACTTTTTGCGGAAAAGCGTCTGTGCCAATCTAGACGTGGTTTTGCGCAAGAAAGCCCCGATCGCCATTTTCGCAATCGGGGCTTTTTTGCGCAAAAGGGCTTTTGCCCGAACGGGAGCAGCACAGTATTTCCGGAAGAACACTGCCAATCTTACATGAGATCATCAGTGTTCTTGCAGAAATTCAAGCGGCCAGTGTAGACAGCTGGCAAGTTTTTCCGTAAAAGCAATTGCTTTTGCGGAAAAACTTGCCAGTCTAGATGCAGCCTTTATGTGATAGGCCTTAGGAATACAAAAATGTCTTTTTCTAGGAGTAAAATAGATCCCTCCCCTTTCCTTGATTGCCCTGTTGAAATGAAAGAGGTGTTAATAGAGAAGGCCTGAAAGGTGAGCACCTCCAGCAGCAGTTGCAAGGGTGGAGAGGGGCTGGGAGCCAGATCCAAGGACCATAAGACTTGTGAAGTGAGCTCATTGAAAAGATGACTGGACATACAGATGCCTTGGGAGTCAAGCAGCAAGCGCCTGAAGGACCCTCTTTGAAGCAGCATTAAAAAAGGCATCACAAGTATCTCACTGCATATGTAGGTGCTGACTAATTGGCTGCATATGGGGGAGAAATAGGAGGCATCTTGCAGGGGGACCCCAGGTTTTCCTCTTGTCAACATGGGAGCATCGATCCGGATCAGCAGAAGCCTGGCTCCACCCCTCCCCCATCTAACTCACCTGGCCAGTGCAGTGAGGGGGAGCAACTTTTGGTAACAACAAGACGGAGCGTGCCTGCGTGTCTAATGTATCACATGCATATGATCAGTGTGGATTGACCTGTGTGCTCAGTAAATGCAGCGTGTTGCCTTATCCCCCTGAAAAAAGATCCCAGTGCTTCTTTTAAGCACAACAACACGAAGGGAAGGAATAAATGGTCGGTTTTCCGACTGGGTCCCCCAAGGGTCTGTCCTGGGACCCGTCCTATTCCCCTCATTCATTCAGAAATGATCTGGAGAAAGGGGTGCGCAGCGAGGTGGCAGCACTGCTCAAGATAGTGAATTCCACAGCAAGGTGCAGAGAGCTGCAGAAGGATCTCACCAGCTGGGGACTGGGCAGAGGATATCCAACGTGTGAAATGCAAAGGAATGCACATTGGGAAGTACAATCCCGACTGATGGGGGCTAAATTAGCTGTTACTAGTCAAGTGAAAGACCTTGGCATCATGGTAGATAGTTCTCTGAAAGTATCCCCTCCGTGCACAGCAGCAGGTAAAAAAGCAAACAGGATGGTAGGAATCATTAAGAAAGGGATAGTGAATAAGACGGAGAATCTCTTATTGCCTCTGCATAAATCCATGGGACGCCCTCCTCTTGAATCCCGCGTACAGAGGTGGTCTCAAAAAGATCTCTTGGCATTGGACAAAGTTGAGAAAAGGGCAACAAAAATGACAAGGGGTTTGGAACGGGTCCCATATGGAGACAGATTAAAAAGACGGGCACTTTTCAGCTTAGAAAAGAGGAGACTAAGGGGGGATGGGATAGAGGGCTAGAAAATCAGGACTGGCGTGAAGAAAGTGAATAAGGAGACGTTATTTATTTGCTCACATCACACAAGAACTAGGGTCACCAAATGAAGTTAATGGGCAATAGGTTTAAAAGAAACCAAAGGAGTTTTTCTTCACACAGCGCACAGTCAACCTGTGGAACTCCTCGCCAGAGGAGGTTGTGAAGACCAGGACTATAACAGGGTTCAAGAAAGCACAAGCTAGATTCATGGAGGTTGGGTCCATCACGGGCTATTAGCCAGGCTGGGCAAGGAGGGTGTCCCTAGCCTTTGTGAGAGGCTGGAAATGGGTGACGGGGAAGGATCGCTTGATGGTTCCCGGTTCTGTTCCCTCCCTCTGGTGCACCTGGCCCTGGCCACTGTGGGCAGACAGGACACTGGGCTGGGACGTTCCGATGTTCTTAAGGGGACAGACTGGAGGAATGCGCAGCCTCTCCACTCACCCTCAAGTCCCAGCTGGTGGCCTGTGGTTGTCAGGACCAAGCGGGTGGCATTGGGTCGCACTCTTCCAGGGAGGTTGAAGGTCAGGCCCACCAGGATTGAGAGAGTTGGGGGGGCCCCTGGCGAAGGTGGGGTGGTCCCAGGGGGAGGGTCTGGACTCGTTGCCCCCCTCCAAGTCCCATTGTCTGTGCAGAAGCTCAGGTGGCTCAGCAACTCCAGCAGTGAGTTCCAGTCCTGGGGGGAGAATCAGAGAATCAGCCAGGGGCACGGTGCAGCGTGGGAGGGGCAGTGCAGCCGGGCTCCCCCCCCAGTGCCCCGGGACACAGCAGGGAGGGGCACGGTGCAGCGTGGGAGGGGCAGTGCAGCCGGGCTCCCCCCCCAGTGCCCCGGGACACAGCAGGGAGGGGCACGGTGCAGCGTGGGAGGGGCAGTGCAGCCGGGCTCCCCCCCCAGTGCCCCGGGACACAGCAGGGAGGGGCACGGTGCAGCGTGGGAGGGGCAGTGCAGCCGGGCTCCCCCCCCAGTGCCCCGGGACACAGCAGGGAGGGGCACGGTGCAGCGTGGGAGGGGCAGTGCAGCCGGGCTCCCCCCCCAGTGCCCCGGGACACAGCAGGGAGGGGCACGGTGCAGCGTGGGAGGGGCAGTGCAGCCGGGCTCCCCCCCCAGTGCCCCGGGACACAGCAGGGAGGGGCACGGTGCAGCGTGGGAGGGGCAGTGCAGCCGGGCTCCCCCCCCAGTGCCCCGGGACACAGCAGGGAGGGGCACGGTGCAGCGTGGGAGGGGCAGTGCAGCCGGGCTCCCCCCCCAGTGCCCCGGGACACAGCAGGGAGGGGCACGGTGCAGCGTGGGAGGGGCAGTGCAGCCGGGCTCCCCCCCCAGTGCCCCGGGACACAGCAGGGAGGGGCACGGTGCAGCGTGGGAGGGGCAGTGCAGCCGGGCCCCCCCCCAGTGCCCCGGGACACAGCAGGGAGGGGCACGGTGCAGCGTGGGAGGGGCAGTGCAGCCGGGCTCCCCCCCCAGTGCCCCGGGACACAGCAGGGAGGGGCACGGTGCAGCGTGGGAGGGGCAGTGCAGCCGGGCTCCCCCCCCAGTGCCCCGGGACACAGCAGGGAGGGGCACGGTGCAGCGTGGGAGGGGCAGTGCAGCCGGGCTCCCCCCCCAGTGCCCCGGGACACAGCAGGGAGGGGCACGGTGCAGCGTGGGAGGGGCAGTGCAGCCGGGCTCCCCCCCCAGTGCCCCGGGACACAGCAGGGAGGGGCACGGTGCAGCGTGGGAGGGGCAGTGCAGCCGGGCTCCCCCCCCAGTGCCCCGGGACACAGCAGGGAGGGGCACGGTGCAGCGTGGGAGGGGCAGTGCAGCCGGGCTCCCCCCCCAGTGCCCCGGGACACAGCAGGGAGGGGCACGGTGCAGCGTGGGAGGGGCAGTGCAGCCGGGCTCCCCCCCCAGTGCCCCGGGACACAGCAGGGAGGGGCACGGTGCAGCGTGGGAGGGGCAGTGCAGCCGGGCTCCCCCCCCAGTGCCCCGGGACACAGCAGGGAGGGGCACGGTGCAGCGTGGGAGGGGCAGTGCAGCCGGGCTCCCCCCCCAGTGCCCCGGGACACAGCAGGGAGGGGCACGGTGCAGCGTGGGAGGGGCAGTGCAGCCGGGCTCCCCCCCCAGTGCCCCGGGACACAGCAGGGAGGGGCACGGTGCAGCGTGGGAGGGGCAGTGCAGCCGGGCTCCCCCCCCAGTGCCCCGGGACACAGCAGGGAGGGGCACGGTGCAGCGTGGGAGGGGCAGTGCAGCCGGGCTCCCCCCCCAGTGCCCCGGGACACAGCAGGGAGGGGCACGGTGCAGCGTGGGAGGGGCAGTGCAGCCGGGCTCCCCCCCCAGTGCCCCGGGACACAGCAGGGAGGGGCACGGTGCAGCGTGGGAGGGGCAGTGCAGCCGGGCTCCCCCCCCAGTGCCCCGGGACACAGCAGGGAGGGGCACGGTGCAGCGTGGGAGGGGCAGTGCAGCCGGGCTCCCCCCCCAGTGCCCCGGGACACAGCAGGGAGGGGCACGGTGCAGCGTGGGAGGGGCAGTGCAGCCGGGCTCCCCCCCCAGTGCCCCGGGACACAGCAGGGAGGGGCACGGTGCAGCGTGGGAGGGGCAGTGCAGCCGGGCTCCCCCCCCAGTGCCCCGGGACACAGCAGGGAGGGGCACGGTGCAGCGTGGGAGGGGCAGTGCAGCCGGGCTCCCCCCCCAGTGCCCCGGGACACAGCAGGGAGGGGCACGGTGCAGCGTGGGAGGGGCAGTGCAGCCGGGCTCCCCCCCCAGTGCCCCGGGACACAGCAGGGAGGGGCACGGTGCAGCGTGGGAGGGGCAGTGCAGCCGGGCTCCCCCCCCAGTGCCCCGGGACACAGCAGGGAGGGGCACGGTGCAGCGTGGGAGGGGCAGTGCAGCCGGGCTCCCCCCCCAGTGCCCCGGGACACAGCAGGGAGGGGCACGGTGCAGCGTGGGAGGGGCAGTGCAGCCGGGCTCCCCCCCCAGTGCCCCGGGACACAGCAGGGAGGGGCACGGTGCAGCGTGGGAGGGGCAGTGCAGCCGGGCCCCCCCCCAGTGCCCCGGGACACAGCAGGGAGGGGCACGGTGCAGCGTGGGAGGGGCAGTGCAGCCGGGCTCCCCCCCCAGTGCCCCGGGACACAGCAGGGAGGGGCACGGTGCAGCGTGGGAGGGGCAGTGCAGCCGGGCTCCCCCCCCAGTGCCCCGGGACACAGCAGGGAGGGGCACGGTGCAGCGTGGGAGGGGCAGTGCAGCCGGGCTCCCCCCCCAGTGCCCCGGGACACAGCAGGGAGGGGCACGGTGCAGCGTGGGAGGGGCAGTGCAGCCGGGCTCCCCCCCCAGTGCCCCGGGACACAGCAGGGAGGGGCACGGTGCAGCGTGGGAGGGGCAGTGCAGCCGGGCTCCCCCCCCAGTGCCCCGGGACACAGCAGGGAGGGGCACGGTGCAGCGTGGGAGGGGCAGTGCAGCCGGGCTCCCCCCCCAGTGCCCCGGGACACAGCAGGGAGGGGCACGGTGCAGCGTGGGAGGGGCAGTGCAGCCGGGCTCCCCCCCCAGTGCCCCGGGACACAGCAGGGAGGGGCACGGTGCAGCGTGGGAGGGGCAGTGCAGCCGGGCTCCCCCCCCAGTGCCCCGGGACACAGCAGGGAGGGGCACGGTGCAGCGTGGGAGGGGCAGTGCAGCCGGGCTCCCCCCCCAGTGCCCCGGGACACAGCAGGGAGGGGCACGGTGCAGCGTGGGAGGGGCAGTGCAGCCGGGCTCCCCCCCCAGTGCCCCGGGACACAGCAGGGAGGGGCACGGTGCAGCGTGGGAGGGGCAGTGCAGCCGGGCTCCCCCCCCAGTGCCCCGGGACACAGCAGGGAGGGGCACGGTGCAGCGTGGGAGGGGCAGTGCAGCCGGGCTCCCCCCCCAGTGCCCCGGGACACAGCAGGGAGGGGCACGGTGCAGCGTGGGAGGGGCAGTGCAGCCGGGCTCCCCCCCCAGTGCCCCGGGACACAGCAGGGAGGGGCACGGTGCAGCGTGGGAGGGGCAGTGCAGCCGGGCTCCCCCCCCAGTGCCCCGGGACACAGCAGGGAGGGGCACGGTGCAGCGTGGGAGGGGCAGTGCAGCCGGGCTCCCCCCCCAGTGCCCCGGGACACAGCAGGGAGGGGCACGGTGCAGCGTGGGAGGGGCAGTGCAGCCGGGCTCCCCCCCCAGTGCCCCGGGACACAGCAGGGAGGGGCACGGTGCAGCGTGGGAGGGGCAGTGCAGCCGGGCTCCCCCCCCAGTGCCCCGGGACACAGCAGGGAGGGGCACGGTGCAGCGTGGGAGGGGCAGTGCAGCCGGGCTCCCCCCCCAGTGCCCCGGGACACAGCAGGGAGGGGCACGGTGCAGCGTGGGAGGGGCAGTGCAGCCGGGCTCCCCCCCCAGTGCCCCGGGACACAGCAGGGAGGGGCACGGTGCAGCGTGGGAGGGGCAGTGCAGCCGGGCTCCCCCCCCAGTGCCCCGGGACACAGCAGGGAGGGGCACGGTGCAGCGTGGGAGGGGCAGTGCAGCCGGGCTCCCCCCCCAGTGCCCCGGGACACAGCAGGGAGGGGCACGGTGCAGCGTGGGAGGGGCAGTGCAGCCGGGCTCCCCCCCCAGTGCCCCGGGACACAGCAGGGAGGGGCACGGTGCAGCGTGGGAGGGGCAGTGCAGCCGGGCCCCCCCCCAGTGCCCCGGGACACAGCAGGGAGGGGCACGGTGCAGCGTGGGAGGGGCAGTGCAGCCGGGCTCCCCCCCCAGTGCCCCGGGACACAGCAGGGAGGGGCACGGTGCAGCGTGGGAGGGGCAGTGCAGCCGGGCTCCCCCCCCAGTGCCCCGGGACACAGCAGGGAGGGGCACGGTGCAGCGTGGGAGGGGCAGTGCAGCCGGGCTCCCCCCCCAGTGCCCCGGGACACAGCAGGGAGGGGCACGGTGCAGCGTGGGAGGGGCAGTGCAGCCGGGCTCCCCCCCCAGTGCCCCGGGACACAGCAGGGAGGGGCACGGTGCAGCGTGGGAGGGGCAGTGCAGCCGGGCTCCCCCCCCAGTGCCCCGGGACACAGCAGGGAGGGGCACGGTGCAGCGTGGGAGGGGCAGTGCAGCCGGGCTCCCCCCCCAGTGCCCCGGGACACAGCAGGGAGGGGCACGGTGCAGCGTGGGAGGGGCAGTGCAGCCGGGCTCCCCCCCCAGTGCCCCGGGACACAGCAGGGAGGGGCACGGTGCAGCGTGGGAGGGGCAGTGCAGCCGGGCTCCCCCCCCAGTGCCCCGGGACACAGCAGGGAGGGGCACGGTGCAGCGTGGGAGGGGCAGTGCAGCCGGGCTCCCCCCCCAGTGCCCCGGGACACAGCAGGGAGGGGCACGGTGCAGCGTGGGAGGGGCAGTGCAGCCGGGCTCCCCCCCCAGTGCCCCGGGACACAGCAGGGAGGGGCACGGTGCAGCGTGGGAGGGGCAGTGCAGCCGGGCTCCCCCCCCAGTGCCCCGGGACACAGCAGGGAGGGGCACGGTGCAGCGTGGGAGGGGCAGTGCAGCCGGGCTCCCCCCCCAGTGCCCCGGGACACAGCAGGGAGGGGCACGGTGCAGCGTGGGAGGGGCAGTGCAGCCGGGCTCCCCCCCCAGTGCCCCGGGACACAGCAGGGAGGGGCACGGTGCAGCGTGGGAGGGGCAGTGCAGCCGGGCTCCCCCCCCAGTGCCCCGGGACACAGCAGGGAGGGGCACGGTGCAGCGTGGGAGGGGC